AGTTGGAAAAACCCTGATAAATACACACTGCATTATGTGAGATATAAAAAGGGCATTAACTATCCTCCAAAACAGTAGTGTAAGAGAAAGAAGAATGACAGAAAGACAGGAATAAAACATCAGCTCCTAGACACCACACCAACCAAAAAGAACTCTGCAGTTTCATGCAGACGGGTGTGCAGAGGGTGTGAGAGATGAGGTGTGGCATGCAGAGAGGGGGGCTGCAGGCAGAGCACTGGGCCTAGAGCAGAGGGGACATGCTGAGAGCCTGGGGTGAGGAGAGCCCGTGGCTGCCCCTAGAAAGACAGAGATGGGAAGGAGCAGAGGGAAAGGGGAGGGGGGAGGTGCGCACAGCAGGGAGTCTCACTGGGGTGGGGTGGCTTTCACCCAAGGGGGCTGTGGGCAGGGGCCCCAGGAGGCCTAGCTACACCTCAGAGTGGGGAGCACTGTGCTTCCCGGAGGCTGAGTGGGACTGGCCGCCTGGGGCCCGTGTACCCTGCATGAGGTCACTGGTGGAGTGCAGAGTGGACTGAGGGGCAGACATGGGGACAGAACAGGGGTGCTGTGAGCCAGGGCACAAGGAGGCATCAGAGTCCAGGCTGTCAGATGCAGGACGAGGTGACAGCAAGCAAATGGCTGTAGCTGAGAGGCATGTGGGAGGATGAAGGGGGAGCAGGACAGGGAGGGGCTGAGGTTGTGGAGTGAGGCTGAGAGGTGGGCGTGGCCACATGGGAAGCTGGGCTGTGTTGTGTGGCAGTGAGCAGGGTTGGTTATGTGCTGGGCTGGGGCTAGGGACAGTGTCCGAGGAGGCATGGGTCTGAGGAAGGGGCTGGAGATGAAGCAGGGGACCCGGGGCCATGCCCGGGAAGAAATGCACTCTGGCAAAACACGCGGGTCAGACTGATACTGAGATGTCTGTGTGGGGCAGGGCAAGTGTCAGGCAACGAGAGGGCAGAAGACACATGCGGAGCAGGTGGTCGAACCTGAGCCCTGTGCTGCCCGAGTGCAGTTTTGGAGAGTGGGAAAGAAAGGATATGAGAAGAGGCAATCAAGAATGTGGGGAGTGAGAAGAGACCCACCGCCTGGGCCAAGCTGCTCTGCCTGGAGCGTGTGAGTGCAGTGTGGTCCGAGTGGTGCAGGACCACTGACTGTGGTGGAAGCAACGGGGCAGGGATGGTGAGTCGGGAAGGCACTGTCCACTGACAAGGACTGCTGGTCACGGGAGCATTCACAGCTTCACGTGGAGGGGTGGCAGAGTGGTGATGTGGTGTTAGCCTGCCAGGCAGGGGAGGAGTCGGCAGGAGGAATCACAGAGACGGAACAGCAGTTGAGTGGGTGGATACTGAGAGCATGGCAGAGGCGTGGTCCAGTGGGCAAGAGAAATCAGAAGGAAGACAAGCATTGATGACTAGGCGTCGTAAGGCATTGGTAGGGTCAGGGCATGAATTTTTCCTACGGTGGCATGGCAATGATTAAGAAGTTGATTATGAATCTGGAAATGGCGTGAGAAAGTGTGTGAAGAAGAGGATGACTTGTGTGAAGGGAACTGAGACACGGGATAAAGGAGCTACGACCGCAGAAACGTGAGGCATTAGCGTGTCAGGAGAGGGGCCCGTAAGCGCAAAATGGGCACAATTACCCACGTACGCCTGATCTAAAGCGGGAGACGGAGAAAGCCAGAAAAATGTATGCAAAAGAAACTGGGGATGAGTTTGCTGGCTGGCTGACAGTTCATGATGTAACCGCTTTATGAAGGGGCGGTCAGAAGACTTGATTATAAAGGTACACTTGTACAGAGCAGTCCAAGGAGCCCTGGAACGCCAATCCTCAGAACGTGAACCTTGCTAGCAAGGGACCAAGTGCGTGTCAGATGAGCCTGGACGATTCTGGAAGACTAAGAGCAGGCCAGAAGAATGTCCACACATGGTCAGGTGCTGAATTCCTTCCAGAAGCAGTGACCAGTGTGTGGGTGCTAGGCATGTCTGGCTTTCACCCCCAAGGGAAAAAGTAAAATTAAGTAAAAAAGCATGACATGTTTAAGCTGCAATTTGGAGAGATGGGGTTGCTAAGTCCCATGGGAGAATTACATACTTTTATGTAACAGTTTCCCTAATGAAGAACAGAAAAATGAGACTCACATGATAATAGTGTGCATGTCTTCTTTGGAAGACTGTTTTAAAATGAATTCTTGGTAGTTGTTGAGATGGGTCAAGGTGACAGAATATATGATACAACAGTAATAAAAGTGACACCAGCCTTCGCATGTTTCTGCATGGGGGTAGAAGCAGAAGGTGAACATGCTAGGGACACGGAAGAGGCCCAAGGTGGGTATCAACTGGTGGGATGTGCAGACATAATCTACGCTATTTCCGGTCCCATCGATATCTGAAGGGAGGAAGTTGCAGACTGAGAATGGATGCGGTGGAAGGCTTTTCTGAGATTTTGTGGGAAATGAATATTTCTTGAAGGACTTACATTACTTAGGATTTACGATGGTGGTAACATTTTCCACAAATTCCCCAGTTTGAGAGAGCATTTTAGTAGTGTCATATTTACTATTTTTTTTCCAGACAAGGTAGATTTTTGTGCGTTTATAATGTCATGAGGCGTGGGAAAGGTTAAAGATAAAGGGAAGGAAAGCGTGAGTGATGGAAAGGCTTTCTAAGGCGAGTCAGGAGTGTGTCTTGAACAGTATAGAGCCAGATATGAGAGAGACCAAGGGAGAAATAACAGCAGCTTCTATTTATTGTTTCCTATGAGTCTGGCACCATGCTAGTCATCTTACTTCATTCCATCTTATCCTTATGCGTATCCTAACAGGTTTCCGTCACACAGTTAGCAAGCGGCAGGCCCAGAATTCCGACATCTCCCTACTTCTACAACCAGTATTCCTTTCTGTTCTGCTCTCTCTTTTCAAGTTTGAGAAGATAATAACCTGCTTTTTTATACTGTGTCTACAAGGTGAACTATTCTGAGCTGAGCCAGGTAGATGCAGTCTCAGATTCTGGGGTGACTGACAGGAGCTGGCTGTCTGTGCATGACTCACTGCAAAACTAACACTCTGGATTGGTCAGATTAAAATATGAGACTTCTGACAAAAACTAAAGAATAGAAAGGAGTTCGTTGTAAGCAGCTATCAGATGGATGAAATATAAATGAACTTGTAACAAAAGTTTATAAGTTCAGTTTTGAATTCCATTATACTTTTTCCCTCTCCAAGATGCACTGAGAAGAATCGGTAAGTGCATCCTGGCACCAATCAGGAACTCTAGAGTTTAACATGAAATTCTCTAAACACCAAATTCTTATAGACAAAACTGAACCATAAAGCAAGAGTCCATAGCCAGCAGACCAAAGGCTAAAGCCTCTGGGCTAGTTTATAAGAACTGTCTTAAGAACAAAGAAGCTGAGAAACCTCTGTTCTCCTCTCCTGGTGGAGAGGTTTTCTGTTGTTGCTGTCTCCCTAACACACTAACCTATGTAACTTCTGTCATTTCAATATTGCTGTTTTGTGTATTCTAGTGTCATAGCTCTGTGTTGACTGGGTTATGTCCCTGCCACTCCCTGGCTGTGTTGATTGGATTATGCTGCTGGCTGTGAGGCCCCTAAGTTACCAGCTACCAAAGTGGACCTGGGGATATGAGAAGCTCGTACTCCTAACTGGGAAGAGCAGCAAGGTCATGCCCTAAAAACCAGAAACCTAAAAATAAAGGGAGGGATGTTTTAAAAGGTGGGATGGGGATGACGGCCGAAGCCACAGGGCTACATTTAAGGCTGAGCACAGTTACTGGTTTGGAAGAAGGGCAAAGGAAGCTGGCTTTACTGAAGTGTTCTGTCAGCTTCCTTACTGTCCAGTGGGCACACCTGAGACAGTTCTAATGAGAGAAAAACACTCCAAGGAGAAAGTGAAGGTGCCAGGAAGAGCAGCAGGGCAATGTGAGGAGAGGATAAAGGAGGCAGTAAAGGTGAAAGGCCGGAGAACGCCTGGGCTGGCCAGCAGAGCCCCTCTCCCCGAGGGGCTGTGGGCCCAGGCTCCACCCAGGGCCCAAGACTCAACAGCGGTGCCAACTTGAATCTACCTCAGGCTAGAGTCTGAGTGACCTGGTCCGTCACCACACAGGCAAAATCGGGCAGGGACTCCCAGGAAGCCACACTGAAGAACACAGAGGGGCCAGGAGGAGGACGCCAAGCCCAGATGTAACTGAACACTGACCAGGGAAAATGCTTTTTCGATTTCTCATAACTCTGTAACCTGTCCAGTGTTTGTTCATTTTGTTAAGCTCTATTGAATTTCCTGTACTTACTAGTAGTAAAAAATTGTTCAAAATATAAATGTGATATCTGTGCTTATTTCAGTGCAGCAGTTGTACTTTGCTGTGACTACGGGAAGAGAAGAACTCAGCTGGGAAAATGGGGTAAAGAAATCAAATGCAACAAGTATCTGTCAGGTGCAGGAGAGAGGTTACAGACCTTCCCAGACTGGCAAACACTCCTGTTGCCATAGCAACTGGCTCTTTTAGGAGATACCCCCTCCACCCGAGCTGGTATATCAACAGAGAATCCTGAGCACTTTTTCCAGTGTGCACACACAGTGCTGGGTAACTCTCACTAGGCTGAAACCTACTTTCAGATATCAGCATTATGAGCAAACTTCAGTACCAATGATTTCCTGCATGACCAAGTTTTCTTGGATGCCCTGGAAAGAAACACCAGCTAGGAAGGTCAGGATCCTTACAGGCACACAGACGATGGCTATCATGTTCCAACAAAAAGCCAGGGTTTGTTTTTGGGCTACCACTGTATTTACTCAGTTTATCTTTGACTCAAAGACTTAAGTTTTAAAGGTAAAATTTCCACCAGTTTTGTAGGAGTCCACGTGTGTGTAAACACATTAAATTCTAGAAAAGAACTGTATCTTGAATCCTGAACGCCTGTCTATTCATTGTACGGGTTTAAGACCAGCACTCATGTCAGTATCTCCTCCCTTCTGGGGTTAGTACCTGCTGTAGGATCATCCTCAGGCAAGCGCACAAGAGTGTAACATATTCCTGGATGGTTGTAAGTGAGGCTGGAGGCTGGGATACAACACAGCACCTCGCAAGAATCAGACGGCTCCATCTGGACTGTCACCTTCTCCAGCAGCTGGTCATTGAGAGTATTTGTGCAGTCAAACTGAAAAACCAGCCAATGGAAAAGGCATGAAAGAAGATTACCTTCCAGGAAGTGTCCCTTCCCACTGGAGTCTATGGCTCAGCTCTGAAACCCACTCCCCCTTCTGTCTGTGAACTGTGGGTGGGGGCGGGGGAGGACTGATATCCTGGCATATCAGGCTGAGCCATCTCCTGCAATGCTTGGCATCCCATATCAGAGCACCGATTCAGATCACAGCTGCTCCACTTCTGACCCAGTTCTCTGATAACACATGCAGGAAGGCAGCAGTAAAGTGGCCCTAGTGCTTTGGCTTACACCACTGTGCAGGGGACCGCCGTGGTGCAGGGGACCGCTGTGGTGTTCTTGGCTCCTGGCCCAACCCGCCATTGCTAACCACTTGGGGAGTGAGCCGGCAGAGGAGAGATCTCTCCTTAACTAGTCCCCTGTCATTCTGCCTTTCAAGTAAATATAAGTTAATCACCACTAAATAAATAAATAAAAAGCAGATAGCACTGTGGTTCTGCTCCTAAGACTTTCCGGTAGGTATCAGGAATACTCTTATTTGCAAGGTCTTCTTTGCTTGTTAGTCATCAGCTTCTCCTTCCTGAGACTGAGCTTTAAGATGGCGTAAGTCTGACGGACAAGAATAAACTCTTTGAGAAATCCACTTGATTTACCTGATTTTAAAAACAGGTTATACTTTATGTTGTCTATTGTCTTCAGACATGTCAGCTTTATATCCTCCTATTTTAACCATCATATGAGATAATCTCTGGCATTAAGCAAATAAGGAGCTGCTGCCAAATTAATTCGCTGTGGAAGAAACTAGAACCAGAAGTCAAAAGACAGGGACACGTGTAACAAAGTGTAACAGACTGCCGGTCGGAGAGCGGGCATCTCACCTGGAACACAATGTGACTGGGGAAGATGTGCTTGATGCACCGGACAAAATACTCGGTCTCTGCTTCCGTAAGCTGAACAGGGTCACAGGACTTGAACAAGGGTCCTAGATTCATAAACTCAGGGATGGCAGCCAACTGTTCTGTAAAGGAAAAAGGAACGACAAATAGGGGAAAAAGTAAGACAGGAACTTTACTCTGGATGCATCATGTTTTTAGTGTTCACAGCTTTACCGTAGTTGAACAGTCAACTAGAGTGTCCCCAAGCTTCAGGCAAAAAATCTTGTTTTGAGTAGGGAAGTTTATATACTGAGCTACTAAAAGCAAAATAAGAAACGAAATCCCCAATTTCTAAGAATCTGATTTTCCTGTTAACCAACAAAATACACACATAACAGGGGGTCTACCTGAACTAGCAACTGTGCAGTCCCATGGACACTCGGGAGCCACAGCAGCCTTAACCTCTGATTTCCTGCCATACAAAGATTCCCTGAATTGAGACTTCATGACATTGAATAAAGTAAGATCTTATTATATTTACAGTGCCTAGGGACATGGTTATTATTTCTACCCATCAAATCATACCTTGGACAAAGGCAGAGCTACAGAGATGGAGAGACAGAAAAAGAAAAAAAAAAAATCATACCTTGGAAAATGTCTTGCCTGGAAGGAGCCAACTTCTCTGGCTTAGCAGCCACAAGTGTGATTTCTACAAAATACAGATATGCATGATCGAGTGAAGCAACAGTAGATGCTTGAGGCAGACACACAATGAGCTACTGCTAAATCATACCAACAGGTTCTCCGTCACCTTTGTGGGGTGAGGGACACATTCAAATTAAAGTATATTTAGTAGGCATACACCGTCAAATAACATATAATAATACAAGTAAGCCTTAACATAGAATTTGTTTTAAATTAATTGGCACATTAAAAAACATTACTCATTAAAAGAGCAATAATTTATAAGATGATCATTTTCATGATCAAATAGGAATATTACTTGTAAAGAATAAAAACAAAAACAGTGAAAATACTGACAGGCATAAGATTTTTTTAAAATCCTAATTAAAATGTCATCTGTTTTAGACTTAAAGTATTTACAAATGGGGCTGGCATTGTGTTGTAACAGGTAATATGCCGTCTGTGACACCTGCATCTCAGTCTGGAATGCTGGTTTGAGTCCTTGCACTAACACGCCTGGGGCGGTAGTGGCATACGACCCGAGGACCATGCAGGGGGGCGGACGGGGCCGCAGATGGAGCACTCTGTGCCTGGCCTCAGCCTGGCCGAGAACTACCGCTGTGGCCATCTGCGGAGGGCTGATCTTTCTCTCCTTCTTTTCTGACTTCGAAGCAAATAAATAAATTTCAGGAGTGCCAACAAATATTAGAGAAAATATACTAATATTTGAAAAACTACGTACACAGAGGAAACCTCGCAAAGTTAACTGTTTTCATTACCTGCCTTCTGTTCGAAGACAGGAGCCACAGCAAGAGGGATGGACGTCATATCAAAGGGCTTCTCTGAAGGTTCCAGTGTGTACTGCTGTAAAGCTTTTTCCATCCCTGGTACAGACACTGTCAAACCTATGACAAACAATTTAGCATTATAACATTTATCAATCTCTGAATACAGATGGCCTCAGATTTGCAATATTATTCTCAGCCTTCTGACAGAACAGCAAAATATAACCATAGATTTTTTTTAAACATAATAACTAAAAATAAAGGCTACTGTGTAAGATTGCCATATTAACTCACAAACTGTCTTATTTCATTTAAGGAAATGTGGTAGCAGACCACAAACATTTTCAACAAAATCAAAATACCTTTCAGAAAAGAAAGTCAGTTGCCTATATGGAAGCAATGGCAGCATCGGAAAAAGGGCAGAGCCATCCAGGGAGTTTCAGAACTAAGAGAGGCAATATCCTTTGGGCTCTTAAGCATTTTAGGGAACTTACTCTTATGGTTTGTTTCAAAGGAATTACCATTAGCAAATTAGGAAATACCCATGTGAAATCAGGTTTTTCTAGAAACAGAAATATTCCTGAAGACAAAAAGACAAAACAACAAAGAAAGAAAAAGCAAACATCTGCCCGGTGACGCAGACTCCTTCGCAAGTCGTGAAACACGTTTACAGTCTACAACCCTGGCTCCCACTGACCACTGGAAATGTACGTGGCATTCAGGGCCATCTGCTTCTGCTGCAGCACATTCAGATAGAAGGTGGCTCTGTCCCGGACTTCATCATCAGTATCCATCATACACCTGCCAGGAGAAACACAACAAGACAGCTGAGCTCATCTAACACCACTTTATAAAAGATTGCAGCAGCATCCAACATTTCCCCCAGTCTCCACAAATCCAGGACACTGCTCTGAACTACTAAGACATCCACTATCATAAACAGAAGCACTGGATGGAAGTAGACATTAAAATAACTAGAAAGAACACAGTAGCCTGATGCAGCTTGGGTCTGACTCTGTAACCACAGGACCCTGATGAAACTTAAGACTTCTCCATAGATAGGAAATGGGAATATTATACTTTCCAAGGATACATAAAAGATATTTAGCATCCAGAATCCAAGCATAGGTTTATTATAGCAAATTTTTTATGCAGAGAGCTTTTGGCTTGTAATTTATCTGCTTTAATTCTAAGATACAATCACAGAGCATTTGCTAAATCAAGGCTTTCCCCATTAAATAGGGAAACATGTATACATGAAATGCTGATATTTCAACTCTATGTTGAATAGCTTACACTTGGAAGGTAAGTCTCTATTTTACAAATTGCTATACTGAAATTAGCTTCCCAAAATAATACCAGAGAAATCCAAAGATAAATTTTGCATGCACCTAGCATACATAATTACCAGGAAGAGAAAGAACATGTCATTTGCTGCTCCCTTGCTGCCCTGGCTTCACTACGGGGCAGTGAGGACTCTGCATACTTACCTCTGTAAGAGCACGAGGATGCTCGGAAGGAGGTTCTCATTCTGAGCTCCAAATTTGGCCAGAGCGCTGACTGCCGCTGCAACGAAGCACAGCAGCGGGCAGTGTCAACACTGGCTCCTCACACTTAGGCAGCAGGCATCGACAGTATACAAGCATCCCACGTTTGCCGGGGACAACTCTCCTGTTCCATTTGAGTGGTTCTTAATCCTATGTATTTGTTCATTCAAGCACAGAACCCTGCAGGCCCTTGGAAGCAGTGAGAAGGACACTCCAGGCTTCGAGGAAGCAGAGGCACATATATTTCTGTATGAGCTACACTGCTACCTCACAATACTCATTTAAGTATCACACGAATGTCATCACAGCTTTAATGCCAGACAAACAGCCCTAGGTACCAAAAGAAAATTGATTATTCAAATCCGACCCATTCAATAAAGATTCACTGCTTATGTAGTTTTGTTAGGAAGTGTGGGTTCTGGGGCTAGAAAGATAAAAGAAATGGTCCCTGACCTCAGAGAGTTATATTCTAGTGCAAAAGGCAGATAATAAAGAGACAATTATAAAATGTGTAAGTCTACAGCAGAACTAGATCCAGAAAAGACAGGGCGATGGCGTGAATCACTGCAGTCTGAAGAGCAAGCAGAGTGAGCAGCTGAGGCCGAGAGAGCAGCAGGTCCCAACGTCTCTTCCCGCAGCAGAGAACACGACGCCAGCCTGGAACAAGCTGAGTGCAGGACTGCGCGGGGACACAGGAGGAGGAGCAGGCTGTACTTAACCTCACTTACTACAGAGAGACACTGCACAGAGTAGAAACAGCCAGGTCAGTCTCGGGCGTCTCAAAGGAAGAGTGCCTGCCCAGGTCAACACTCGTGATGACAGGGAGAGGAGATGAAAGAATGCTAAGACAAAAACAACACAAGAGCTTTGCTACAACAGGTGGGCAGGTTCTGTCTGGACAGCTGACTGGATACACTGGCGATGATTCTGTCTTGGTTGATTTGGACTTCAGGTTGAATTTGAAATGTATTAGTAGGTAGTTAGAGATAAAAATTCAGGAGACACTGCTAGAATATCAGCATATTAGCAGAGTCTGAAAAGGAGCACCAGGAAGGATGTGTTGAGACAAAATCCTAAAGAGAACGAACAGTCCAAAAGAATGGGCACAGGGAGAGACTCTCCACAATGAAACAGAAATGACACAGACACAAAGGCTACTCTGGGAACAAAGGAAAAAGGTTTCATGAAGTGTTTAGTCAAGAGATTGAAAAGTGAGCAAAAATAAGACCTGTAAACATGTAACTTAATTTCCCACTAGTTTATAAGTTATTAAAAACAAAAAAAGCCCCAGAGGACTTCAAGGGAAAAAGCCAGATTACACAGAATTGAAGGGAACAAGGCGACTTCAAGTCCATCTCAGAGGGGAAACAAAAGGATGGCGTTGGTAACTAATGAGAGACAAAGGCTCATATGAGGCTTTATTTAAAACATTTTTTTTTAGTTTAAAAATTTTTGGCAGATCTTACATCCATTCTGTACTTCCCAGATGCTTACAGCAACAGTCCAAGCCAGGAACTCAGGCCTGGTCCCTGACACAGGTGGCCAGAATCTGAGTCCCCGAGCTGCGGCCTCTGAGCGGGTGCAGCAGCAGGAGGTGGGACCTAAAGCCGGGGGCTCTGATCTGGAACGCACATCCCAGGGCAGTCGGGAGAAGGCGAGCTAACCACTGAGCCACAATGGCTCCATCTGGTTTACATTTTTAATGGGGATTTGGATCTGCTCACTGAGTAACTAGGAAGTAGTGACCACACAGCAAGAGTCACTTTACAAAATAAACACACACACACCATGCATTTATATCTATCACCAGCACCCTGGAAAATGGACAAGGTATAATATTTGTATCATATGGAAAGCCAAGGATTATCTGTCTAATAGGAAGCAAAAGAAGTTTTTTTCAAGAAACTGCTGTACAAACAAAAAACTATATATATAGGTCCTAAGCTTGCTCCAAGATACTACACTCACGCAGATTTTGCAACTTTATTTTCCAATGTCATTACCATCCTCTGAACTATTTCAAAAGCTACATCATTATCAGTAGTCGAAACACTCACCTGCTCTGACAGCCTCATTCTCCAAGACAACTCTATTAAAGATAAAGCGAATATACTTGGAGGGCACGGGGCTTCTGGGACCCTCCTTGCCCAGTAAGTGCAGAATCTGTGTCGCCAGCACAGTGTGCTCACAGTCCTCGATGAACTCGCAGAGGTGAGCCAGCCCCGCTTCCCTGCTCTCCGGGTTCTCTCCCACAATGCTGACGATGCAGTCCACGATGGCCCGCTTGTATTCAAAGCCTCCCTGGCGTAAAGAAGAGGGACCAAAATGTCACTCCTTTTAAGGACACTTTTTTTTTTTAAAAGATTTATTTATTTTTCTTGGAAAGTCAGATATACAGAGAGGAGGAGACACAGAGAGGAAGATCTTCCGTCTGATGATTCACTCCCCAAGTGACTGCAACAGCTGGTGCTAAGCCAATCCGAAGCCAGGAGCCTCTTCCGCTTTCCCAGGCCACAAGCAGGGAGCTGGATGGGAAGTGGAGCTGCTGGGATTAGAACCGGCGCCCCAATGGGATCCAGGCACGTTCAAGGCAAGGACTTTAGCCACTAGGCCTTTAGCCACTGCGCCAGGCCCTAAGAACACTTTTTATTTAAAGGTTTACCCCCAAGGCTCATGCTTCTCAAACTCAAATCACAAGCATTTCTTCTCCAAGTGGGAAATAAAGCGATATTATATTTAGCAATGATGAAACAGCAGTCAGGATTAACTATGTTATTTGAGAGGCATAATCAGGTCATAAAGAAATGCAGTAAAACACTGTAATATTTAATGGCAATCTCAGGAATCCAAGCAAGAACCTCATGTAATCAAGCCACAGTCTACCTACGTCGTCTCGGAGCATGCTGGAGAGGAAGGTCATCATGACGCCGTGCTTCCGCGGGTACTTCTGACAGAGTGCGCTGACCGCCTGCACGACCACCACCTGTGGGAAGGAGGCATGCTGCTTGTCAACCACTCCTTCGGAAGAGGCAAACACAGGAGGGACCTCCAGCTCCCCATCACTTCCCAGCTGAGAAGATGATCTAAAGTGGCAGTAATGGGTCCTTCAGGGAAGATGTGCAAGGGACTGCAAAAGGGAATTAAAAGCAACACAAAAACATGTGGGAGACCCGGAAGAGGCTCCTGGCTTTGGCATAGTATCGGCCCGTTGCGCTCACTTGGGGAGTGAATCATCGGACGGAAGATCTTCCTCTCTGTCTCTCCTCTCTGTATATCCGCCTTTCCAATGAAAAAATAATAAAAAATAAATCTTTAAAAAAAAAATATGTAAGACCTGCAGACACTACAAAAATCTGCTCAGAAAAATTAAAAGATGACCTAAACAAAAACAGAGATACCATTTGAATCACTGGAATATTGTTCCATATCAGTTCTTTCCCAACTGATTTACAGACTCACCGCCAACCTTGTCATAACCCTAGCAGATTCTGTTTCATAGAAACTGGTAAACTGGTTCCAAATACATAGGAACTAAAACGTGAAAATGAAAAGAACAATTTGGAAAACTAGACTATACACTTTCAAAGGTCCATAAGGCCACATTAAAACCAACAGTGTGGTATTAGCAATGCATTGCATGCTAAGGAGGCCTGATGTGCTGATGGCTCTGTGGCTGCTTTGCAGACAGAGATGCCAACACACTGGATTCCAGTACAGATACATGCTAATTCAAGATCATGGGCCAAAACATAAAAGCTACATTCCTATAGTATTTAGAATAAACCATTAGAATATACTTATGACACAGAAGTGTATAAATAATAATTTGGGAGGATATAGTAATAGCAATCAAAGGAAAACCTACCAAATCAGACTTCATAAAAATTAAACAATTTCTACTCCTCAAAATACATTGTTAGGAAAAGAAATGAGTAAGCAACAGACTGAGAAAAAAAAAAAAAAAACACAATCATGTTTCAACTATTACCTTGAATTCATCTGAGATTTCAGATACAAAAGAGGAAATCTGCTTCATGAGCCTGTCCACACTGCCCTCACTGCCCGTCTTGAGCAGCGTGGTGATGGCCAGGGTGGCAATGCTTCTGTTGGCGTCTGTGATCAAGTTCTCCAGATCCAGATTGCAGGCAGTGACCGCAGAAGGGTGTCTCATTGCCACCTTGTGGGAGGGCAAGAAAGACAGAATATAAGTCATGGCTGTTGATAAAGCTCGTGTTTAAATTCTAATTAAGCTCATGGCGAGCCACAGGAGACAATATAGCTTAAAAGCAATTGAGAATTTCCAATTAATGAAGTATGATAAACCCTCTGATAAATGATTAATAACCATGGTAAAGCAGAGGACTACGTTTTGTTGGAAATTTTAACATTTGTAATACACATAGCTTGTCTTCTGTTAAACTGGGGCTGCATTTCTTATCTCACATGTCCACGTCTGTCTGCTCCAGCGCACGGCATGCTCTCTGAGAAGAACACCTAGGCTGGTAAACATTGCTCAACAAAGACCATTACTACCTTGTCCACGTGTAAACCAGCAAAACTGGATTATCTGGAATGGAGAAAACACATCTGCTATCCTACTTCCTTGTGCTGATTCTGTTCCAGGATTGACACAGAATCTCCTACTCAACAATTCTGAGCATTTACAAACACTCTCAAGAGGACTGGCAGTGAAATTCAACACTCACTAACATAAAACTACATGAGCCTAAATAAACCCCACTTAGCAAGAGCAATCAGGTGATTTGGGGAAAAATTAATGTAGCTTAATAGAACTGATCCAGGCTCCCTGGGGTTTAAATACAACAGATAGCACCATATAATCTTTCTAAAATTCACACACAAAAGATTAATCTCCGAGACTCATCTGGGATGGAGCACTGAAGACGGGAGGTTGCTCGTTTTCAACACCACAGTCACACTGACCGTGAGCTCAGGAAATGTGACTGTAAGACCGACGGAGGAGGCTTCACATTTGGCTCTATTTTCCTTCATTGAAAACGAAGGCCTCTTGGGGCCAATGGCTGCCACTAGTGTGGCTCTTGAGTATAAAGTTCTCAGAAGTGAGTTAGAATCTTGAGCTGCATAATAAGAACCATTTTTAAAAGGCCAAATTTAAGGTAACAAATACAAATAAGGTGTCAGAGAAGCAAAGCCATTAATTATAGGTCCTGACCTTGAAGAGAAAGCAAGTACTTCTCATTCAGTGTCTCAATTACATGCTTCCACAGGCAGCACTCAGCAATGGGACACTTACTTTATTCAGGGTCCTTACAGCTGCATATCTCAACGCTGGCTTAGGAGAGCTACAGAAAAGCTGAAGAACTAAGAAAAAGAAACAAACAAAAATAGCTGGTTGTTGCTCATTTCATCATATATCATATGACTGAAAACATATACTTCATGAATTATATTCAAACTATGAAAAAGGGAGCTAAAATACAGTATCAGAAATTCACAAGAAATGTATCAATGAAAATGGAAAAAGCACTTCTTGTGAGGCTATACAAATTTTAATAAAATCAGTTTGTTTTTCTAAAAGAATTATTACACCTATTACTATGAGAATTTAAATGGTAGAAATAGTGGTAGTTATAACAGCAAACAGGCTTCCTAAATATTAAGAAAAACCGAACACATGAAAGCTGTCAGCCACACAAAACTCTCTCGACAGTATCGCAAGGTCCTAGGAGAAGCGGTGAAGAACAACGCTGAGCGTCTACACACGCATACAGGTCATCAGAACCCAAGGCTACACACAGGCCCGAGGGGACGCAGCATTCCTCATGTCTATTCTGCAGACCTGCAGAACTTAACACACAATCTTAAGAACAAAACAAAGTCCACTGACGAGATGCACAGCTAACCTGACACAGCGGGCGCCAGCTCCCTGGCCGTGCAGTTAGGCAGATGGGTGATAGCAGAGGCAGCCTCGTAAATAACCATTTCATGTTTATTTCGCAAGCAGCTCTCGATGAAATCAAAAAGCGGACTTTCATGGCTGCCAATAGATACATACAGTCATTAGGTATGCATGATGGCTAAAGCACAGATAAATTCTGGAATGGTGGATTAAGTGTCTGCAAATTCACGTCTACGAAAAAACGAGAAAAATGATCTAAAGCAACTTTTTCAGAACTTTAGAAATCAACCAAACACATGCAACAATCTTGTGAGTATTGTTAAGAAAAACAGCTGAATATTGATTTTAAAAAGTGGTGGTGGTGAATCTTCTAGTGTTTTAAACGTGCCATATTCCTCATTTCCCTCCCCTCTCTTCCCTGTTTCTTAGTAGCTGGGAAACTGGCAACATGAGAACCACAGAAGTGTTAAGACAGCATCCCAGCAGCCACTGGGGATGGCGCGGCCTGCATCCTTCCACACCTGTCACTGGCTGACCTGCCTGGAGCTCTCTGGAAAAGCCCCGTTCAAAGGCTAGTTTTCACTTCAATCAACTTGGAACTTGCTTAGTGGGAAAAGCTCCATATTGAAGGAGTTGGTCTGAAATCAAAAGTGGCAAGTAGTTAATACTACTGCTTCCAGAAGTAGAATTCCAGATGTAGCAAACAACAGGCTGGGATTCAAGAACTCCTATTCTGTTTCAGGAGATCTAGAAGCACCTCCCCATGCAGAGGGCTGATCAGATGCTCAGTAAAGAACGGACAAAGCTGAAGTCTCCTGACACTGAGGTTCGGTGCAAGTCAAGTGGAGCTTAATGCAGAGCATGCAATGACAAGCGTCTCCCAGGAAATGGTGAGATACAGTGGATTTTTGTCAAGTTATCTAATGCATCAACTAGGCAGAGTAACCTAGACAGACAGTAACAACAAGCTCTGGGGTGAGGGCACGGGTGGCCTCTGATTACAAAAGCTGCAGCATCATATTACTTCAAACATCATGCTTGAGTCAAATAATAATAAGATACAAAAATACTGAAGTAGGGCCCAGTTGTAGGGAGAAGGGCGGTCAGTAACAGAAAAGCCCAGATGTCTGAATTCCTAGGCACAGTATTTGTCAACAAACTAAAGGATATCATGTGTAAGGAATTAAATAAAATTGTTTCTTACTAAAGAGAGACTATCAATAAAGATACAGAAATTGCTTATTTTACAGAGTTACTGAGAGAGAGGGAAGTCACACACATACATTAGTCCCCTCCCACACAGCCACACTGGCCAGGGCTGAGCTGGCCGGAAGCCAGAATCCAGGAACTTCTTCTTGGTCTCCAGTGGGTGCAGGGACCCAAACCCTTGAACCATCTTCTGTTGCTTTTCCAGGTGCTGAATCAGAATTGGAGTGGGGAGGCCACTGGTGTTGCAAGCACCAGTTTAGTCTGCACTGCCACAATGCCAGCCCTTACGTAATTTTTTTTTAAAGGAACCTAACAGAAATTCTGGGTTTGAAAAGTAGATTCACTAGAATAAAAGTCAACAGCAGATTTGAACTGTCAGATGAAAGAACCACCAACCCTGAAGACTGGCCAACTGAGATAAAGCAGCTAACGGAAATGCTGAAGATGGAAGACACAGGCTTGTGTAACACAGAGGTACCAATGCCAGTGTAGCAGGAGCCTCAGAAGGGAAGGAGAGACAAAGGAACAAAAGGAATATCTGAAAAAACAATGATTAAAATGTTCCAAATCTAATGGGAAACAATAATCTACAAATCCAAGAGGTTCAACAAATCCCAAAACCCACACACAGGTATCCTGTGTTCACACTGCTAAAACAGTTAGACAAAGAAGAAAATCTGGGCGGCTGCAAGAGAAAGACTACTCAGCACTCCACAAAGCATGAAATCAATCTGATTAACAGCTGAGCTCCCATCTGAACCAATGAAGAAACAGCATGAGTAACAGCTGAGCTCCCATCTGAACCAATGAAAAAGGGGGGACTTAAATGCATATTCAAAGTGCCAAAATAAACCAGAATTCTATATCCAGCAAAAATTAAAGTTACAAAACATATGCTCAGATAAGCAGAATTTATCACTAGCAGACTTTTTTAAAAAACTATATCAAGAAGCAAATATGCTAGATTAAAAATCTGACTCAAAACGTGACATGAATGATCAGGGACAAACACAGACCACCAGGAATAGTACACATGTGAGCTGATGCACCACACTACCAAGACATTTTTCTCTTTTGCTTAACTACTTTAAAAGGCAGGTAAAACTGTATAAAGCAATAGTTATAACACCATTTTTATGGATTTATAACACATAGGTAATATACACAGTAGTAACAGCAGACAGGAAGGGAGAACAAATAGAATTATAATGAAAGATCTCACACTGAAATCAAGTACCTTGAAAAGTTCTTTATATTTATTTGAAAGACAGAGAAAACACAGAGGAATTTCTACTGGTCAACTCTGCAAATGGCCACCATGGCTGGGGCTGGGCTGAGCTGAAGCCTGGAGCTAAGGACTCAATCCAAACCTGCACGTGCACGGCTGGGGACCAACCAGCTCAGCCATTACTTGCTGCCTCCCAGGAGGCACATGACGAGGAAGGGGTTTGGAAGAGGAGCTCAGACTTGGATCTAGGCATCTTGATATGAGATGAGAGCATCCTACATGGTATCCCAAGTACCACACTATGCCATATATACACCCACTTAAGGTAGTATTACTTGGAAATACACCAAGGTAAAATAAAATATATATTATAACCCTTAGGGCAATAACTAAGAAAAAACAATTTTAAGTGTTAACATATTAACACAGGAATTAAGGTGATACTCTAAAAATATGTAATGCTAAAGAAAGCAGTGAAAAAGAGGGAGGACCATAAGGTGGGAGAGGGCCAGCCCTGTGGTGTGGCAGGTGGACACTGCCTGTGATGTCAATGGTTATGCCTATGTGCATTGGTTGTGTCCTGGCTGCTCCACTTCCCATCCAGCTACATACTAACGGCCTGGGAAAAGCAGTGTAAGATGGGCCGAGTATCTGGGCTTCTGCCACCCATGTGGGAGACCACAATCAAACTCCAGTCTCCTGCCTTTGGACTGGCTGTTACAGCCATCTCAGGACTGAATCCCTACAAAGAAGTTCTGTTTCAGTCTCTCTAACTCTTTAAAATAAATAAAATCTTTAGAGAGAGACAGGGAAATGGGCCCAGTATGATGGCTTAGTGGCTAAATCCTCGCCTTGCAACTGTGGGATCCCATATGAGCAGCAATTTCTGTCCCGGCTGTTCCACTTCCCATCCAGCTCCCTGCTTGTGGCCTGGGAAAGCAGTGGAGGACGGCCCAAAGCCTTGGGACCCTGCACCTGCATGGGAAGCCCGAAGGAAGCTCCTGGCTCCTGGCTTCAGATTGGCTCAGCTCTGGCCATTACAACCACTTGGGGTGTGAATCAGTGGATTTAAGATCTTTCTTTCTTTCCTTCTCTCAGTGCTTTTCCTTTTCTCTTTGCTTTTCCAATAAAAAAAAGTCTTAAAAAAAAAAAACCAGTACTGATTAAGAAACAGTTGAAATATTTACTCAATACAGGAAACTTAAAAACACAGATCAGAGTACAGATAAATCCAAAGATTTGTGTAACTGTTAGAATAAAAAGGAGAGATAAAATGATGACATGTGCAAGGATACTGTAAGGGTCCTTCATGAAAGACATGAAGATATTAACCACAGACTGCAAGGAGTATTAATGTAGGATTTAAAACATAACTTAAATTATCACAAGGCAGAGATACTCATATTGTAAGACAAAAAGAGACCTTGAGTAATGACAAGAAAATCAATAATATTAGGATGCAAAAAGGACACACACATACACAACAAAACCTCAAAATGCATGAGCAAAACTGGACAAAAGGAGTAAGAGAGCACAAAAAACATTACGTGAAACCAACTGCGCTCACTCATTAACGGACAGATTCCAGGGACAGGAATATGATTAACCACTCAGCCTAAGTGATTATAAAGATCATTCAATCTAATAACTGTGTATTACATGTTCGTTTCAAGTCCACATGGACACTGCCAAAGACAAATTAAATTCCCGGTAATAAAGCTAGTATAAATATATTTAGAAGGACAGAAATGACACAATGCATGTCCTAAACTGTAGTGAAGTTATAATTAACAGAGAGAGAGGGGATACGCGAGCACTCACATTAAACAACTCACTTACAATGGCCTCTGCGTTAAGAAGAAATTAGAAAACAAAAATGCATTTAAAGCTGAGAATGAAAGCACATCGACATTTCTGGGATGAAGCTAAAGGGGAAACAGAACTTTACAAACATGTATTATAAAGCAGTTTTTAAAAAGTCTCAAATCAGTAACTTAAGTTTCCACTTTAAGAAATTAGGAAAAGAAGTTCACATTAAGCAGAAGAAAGGAATTAATAAAGAATGAAAGCATAGGACAAAAGACCATAGATTTTTTAAAAAGTCAATGAAAAAACCAAGCCCGGTTCTTTGAAAAAAAAAAATCAATAAAATTGACAAATCTAGAGCTAAGCAGACAGGAAAATAAAAAGACAACAAATTACAAAACCAGAAATCAGAGGACATTATTACGAACCTTGAGAAAATTAAAAGGATTATGAGGGAGAATTTGAGTATTCATGTGTCAACAAATTAATTGAAATGAAATGGACAAATCCCTAGACATACTAAGCTGAAATACCACATGGCTGCACAAGTGTACTATTAATATACACAAACATCCATATGAGGATGAACAGTAAAGTAGAAAACATTCTAAATAGTAATTTCATGTTTTGTTTTGTTTTGTTTTTTTGAGTTTGGAAAACACGAACCTCACCTGTAATGTCAGTACTGCTCAGCAAATGCTCTGAAGCGAAACCCACTCTGAGATGCACTGACTTTCATGTTCAGGGAAAGCCACTTACCCATCCTCAGCTTCTCTCAGTAGGCGACTGGCGATTCGGATCAGCATGCAATAAGCAAACTGTGACTTGAGGCCAGACTTAGTAAACTTGTTCAGCATCTTGGAAACAGCAAGGCGATCATTCTTCCTAAGGTGATACAGAACTCCCAGTGCGTGGTACTACACGGCAAGGAGATGAGGCACACGGTTAGCCAAAACATAACACAGGAAAACAGAACCACATGAGCTGGAGAAAATATCTGTAATAATAACAAGATGTATTTTTCATACTGAACTAAACACCAGCACGACTAATAGAATAAGCATTTCCAATGTACTGCAGAAGCTAGAAATTCAGACTGACTTCAGACACAGTACCCCAAGATGACTCCAGCAGGTGTACCAGGGCCCTCACAGCCTCTGGACAAAGGCACTCTGCGCTCTTTCAATAGCTTTAAACCATCCGTGGGTTAGTCTTCTAAAGTAGACTAAACAAGTGTCATTTTCAAGGTGTAAAGCAAACGGGAGGATGGGTGTCTCCGAGGTAAAAGTCAGTAGACTGGCTGCCACCTAACTGAACAAGCTAACGCAAAATACTTTCCACACTCACACTCCCTGGGGCACAGATAAATAAACTCTGGAATATAAATGGAGCACTTTCCATGAAATTCCCAGTTAAGAACTCAATCTTAGATAAAGGATTGCAGTGCAGAGTGAAAGAACTCTGGGGGAGAGAGCCTCTAATCCTTCACGAATGTAAGTGGGGAAGTAGCCTGGAAGTGTCAAGCTAGCGACACACTCAGCGGCTGAAGCCCCTGAGCCACGACCCGAGCCCGTTTAGCCCTTGGAAGGACCGGGCAATAGCCACCTCCCTGAGACACGATCTGGCTAGGCCACTTAGCATGCCAAAGAACCTGCCCTTAGACAACGCTGAGCTGGGGGAGCCAATACACTGCTCCTAAAATAAAGGCTTAAAGAAAGCTGATTCCAAGACAAGGCCAGCGTGTTCACACCAGTACCTGGACCATGATGCTGTCGCTTGAAGCTGCTTCCTGGGCTTCATTGATCCAGCGTTTCACCACGTCGTAGCTTATCTTCATCATGTGCTAAATCAACAAGAGTTAATACACGGTCATTGGAAACTTGGAAACATGAGTTAGTTTTCTCAGAAAAATCAGCATAAAGTTTCTGAAAGAAAGGTCAACTTTGCAGCTTTGTAGCCTGCTTCAAGTCCCACCCACCATTGTTCCCAGCACTCCTTTGCAAAGGTGAGTGCGAGTACACACCTCCTTCAAACTTCAGGGCCAATGTGAACTGTGAAGTCCATTTTTCAATAAACTTTCCAAAATCTCATTTATACTCTGCTGTAAAACCTCAAACAATTTTACTCCAGAGTTGGAACTCCTGCAATTCAGACACTGCAATCTCAGATTAGTAATGGATTTTAATCAAATGCTTTGTGATATCTAAATGAACTGTTTTTGCTCAAAAAGCAGGAAAACCTATTACTAAAACAAAGACCACTTCCTGGAAGAAGTGGTCCCGAACTGCTACAGGAGACTTTGATGGACTCAGGCAGACAGGTTCTGGGGGAGGCGAGGGAAGCCGAGCACAGACACGCGTGCAGCCCCCAAAGCCAGCCCTTCACGGAGCACAGCCCGACTCTGTCACTGTCCCCACTTCACTCTTACTGCCCCAACATCTAAATTACATGTATAATATTCAGATCCTCAAAATCTTTCAAACGTATGAAAAGTTCATGTTTTTAACAGCTCCTCCAGACGGGATAAACTAAAATAAATGTGTGTGTGTGTAACTGTTTCATTTATAAGAGGATCACAGTGATACTTCCTAGTTTTCTAACTAGGAAACTGTGCCAAGCATAAAAACCAGAGGCTGCTGGCTTACTTACCAAGGAGGACACCAGTGCTGAGCTGGACACACTGGGCACTTTATCCACAATGGCCTGCTTCATATAGCGTTCAATAGCTTGCAACATTGTTCCCTAGTACATTAAAAAATAAAAGCTATTGAAGCAAAACATTTTCATTAAAAAATCACTAGTTCAACATCATTTACAAAAGCCAGTCCCATATTTGTTTAGTGTAAACATTTAAATGTACGAAAAGATTATCACGTCGTTATCATCATGCAGTATCATGCAGTAATTATACTGCAGAGGGCAGGACGGAAACAACTCAGGAGAAATTTCAACACAGGCAATTGACTATTGAGCTTAAGGGAGAATCCATTTAACAATGAAGCAAACTCTCAAAGTGGAGAATACCTGGCTGAATACACAGGAGAGGCTGGGCCTCTCAAGGACGTCACAGATAAATTCCTGAATCTATCTGAAGGGCGCATGTTACATATGGGACCTATAGATCATACGAGTTAATAGTGCAAGCACTGGCAACTTCAGCTCTACAAGGAATTACATGTACAGCACAGTAAAACGCGCCCTTAGCAAGAGATCCTCTGGAAACAAGCTCTTTCAAATTTTAGCCAGCGAAAACCTCACCACGGGGAAGATGAGTCAATCAACCATGGTCAATATTCAGACGAAAATAAAGGTTTTTTGGCTAACATTGGAATGATTAAGTTTTATACCACCAAATTAATGGTGATATAAAAACAAGTAAAACAAAACAACAGAGAAATAACATTAAATAATTTGTATGACTGCTCCTAGGACTGGGATTTACAACTTAATCCTGCCATCATTCCACACCTGAGGGAGTTAAAAACATACCCATAAAATACAGCCACGCGTGACCACACAGTCCCTAGTGAGAACGCCTGGCAAGCCCCAGGCTGCTCTGCACTTCAACCTGCCCCGGTCAGTGCTCCAGAGTCAAGAGACCCGGTCAGGGTTAGACACCTGGACCTCCTCCTGCCTGGACGGCTGGCAGATGAGGCAGCACCACAGAAAAGTCTGCGACGTCTTGCTGGGCTATGTTCTGCTCTTGCATCCGGCTGTGTCTCACATCCCTCGAGTTCTGTAGCCAACGCTCACGGTGTGTGTTCCTTGACCTCTTTTGGATGGGCTTTCTGCACACAGGGTCTCAGGGGGCAAGTACTCAGGGAAAGCAGAGTAGTACAATAAAGGAAAAGCAATCGGAGGGGAAAACCTGGAGCCACAAATCTCTTGAAGACTTAGAACGTCTGGCTAGCTGCCCTCCCCAAAGCCACGGGCAGTAACCGTCAGAGGGCACTTACGTCAGTGATTCTGCAGAGAGCCCTGATGGCGGGGCCACGGTACACATCTTCCTTTCCAGTCATGTCTTTAGTCAGACTAAGAAAAATCAAGCTGGTTAACATGAGATCAAATGGAAACCCCGCACTGGGGTTCCCACCACCCTCAGTCACGCTCAACTCCAGCTGACCACTGTGAGGTTTCCACCACACATGCTTGCTAAATGCATGCCAGTGGATCTTCCCGCACTCTGACAACCTCTCTTTTTTAAATTCAATATAACTTGAGATTCTCTCTGTAGCATCACTTAAAAACTTTCAGGAGGCTGGCACTATGGCACACAAGCTACCTCCACAGAACACCAGCGTCCCGTATGTGTGCCGGTTTGAATCCCGGCTGCTCCACTTCCGACCCAGCCCATCTGCTGTCAGCCGTCTCCAGCAGACAATAGCTCCTTGGGCCCCTACACTCCGAGACCAGGAAGAAGCTCCTGGCTCCTGGTTTCTGGATTGTCCCAGTTCTAGCCACTGGGATCTTTTGGGGAGGATCTCCGTCTTTCCCTCCATCTCTGTAACCCTGCCTAAGAAAGAAAGGAATCTTCAAAAAGGGGGAATACAAGTATACTAGCCATATATTATCAAGTATCTGGACATATAAAATTATATTTTTAACAGCAGAGTTCCATTGGTCAGGTATTGCAAATATCTACATTTTCCTAATTAGATTTAGAAAAAATGAGGCTTTTGTTAGCCAAAGCTGTAGGGTGTGAGCATCAACACACACACAGTGCCAGGGGTGCCTTACAGCACAAAGAATGTGAAAGCCAAACATATTATAAACATACAACATAGATGTTAAAATATAAACATATTAAAATATAAACATATTAAATATAAACATATAAACATATTATAAACATATTAAAATTTTTTTAAATAAACATTTTCGATAAATGGATTCTTTCTTATTCCACGAGGACCTGTCAACTAGATTCTATTGTCAGTACTAAAGTCACCTGACCACCGTAATTCCTTGGGAACTTCAGGGCTAAAAGCTGTGAATACTTCTCTAAACAGCTTCAGTTCAAACCACAGGTTTTAATAATAGCTTATAAATATTCTGCAATTTTAGTTTTCATCTTACTTTAACCTTAAAATTGAGCTTTTTTTTCTTTTCCTATTTGATGCATCTTGGCATTATTTGCTTAATTTTCAAAGTAAATGTATAGTCTGCTTGTATTAAAATGCGAGAATCTGGACCTGCCATGCGTCCATGTTTTCGCAGCTGTCAAGTATCTATTCTCCCGTCATTGTTTTTCAACTTCCTAGTGTGTTATAGGCTTTTCCCTCATCTATGTAACCAACATTTAAAATAATTTTTCTTATTTTAACACACTTTATTTTGTTTTATGATATAGTAAAATAAAGAGGTTTCCGGGGGTAAGCAAATGTTGAATACTTTGCAAATGTTCTACAAAAAATTTATACATGTGAATTTCTGTCACAAGTATATAGTTTTCCTGTAAAAATGTTGCTTATGAAAAGAAAAAGATTAATCAATTATATTTTATTTTTAACTAATTTGGATTCTTTGTAAAAATGTATTTATCACCACGGGATGAGGGAGCAAGGGTACAGACACACGCACACACGGCCCAGATCTCCAACTGCTGCTCCACCTTCCAAATGACCATATCAGCTGGGCAGACTGCGCCAACTGGGCAAGTTAGAAACCAGGAGCCCAACTCTACTCAGATTTCCCACAGGGACAGCAGCGGCTCAAGCACTTGAGCCATCCTCTTCTGCATTTCCAAGAAATTAGCAGGGAGCCGCATTTAAAGTAGAGCCACCAGAACTCAAACTTGCAATCATACGTTTTGTCAGCACCGCAGGCAGAGGCTTAACTCCCTGTGCCACATTCCTGGCAAATGTGTCAGCATTTGCCAATGTTTCTTTGTTTTCTCCAAGGCAGTTCTGGCCAGTAGAAATTTCTATAATGATGGAAAAGTTCTTTACAATTCAACCCATCAGCCACAAGTTACATATGGCTATTCAGCATCTGAAATGTAGCTAGTGGACCTAAAGAACTGAATTGTAGATTCTATTTCATTTTAGTTAATGTTCACAATGATTAAAACAACCACATAGAGCCAAGAGTTACTGTACTGGACACCACAGCTTTGGGATTTACATTTTATTTTGCTCAGTGTTATTGCCTTTCAACTGAATTTTTCATTACTAATTATCTGAATTTTTAATTTTAGCTTTCAAATAATTTCATAATTATTACAGTGCCTGAATTCTTTGGAGTGTGAAGTTGCCTGAGCTATTGAATGACAACTTGCTGTTCTAGTCATCAATGCTATTCTTTTTCTTTTTAAAACAAATATTTTAGCCGTTGATGTTTTTGGGCAAGGAGCTTGGGATTCTGCAGAGGTCTCCCCTGGACGGCAGGAGCCAAGCCCTGGAGGCGTCAGCTGCGACAGCCTCCTCTCACGGTGTGGACCGGAACAAAGCTGGACTCCTGAGAACGCAGCCCTCAGACCCAGGATGCGAGGACCCCAGCACCATGCCACACCTCACCACATGAAAACCTTACATTCTCTTGAAATTCTGCAGTCACCCACCACATTTTTTGACAATGAAATCTGCCACGAATGGCTGAGGCTGGGTTGAGTTCTTTTCCCACTCTTACACGATTCGTTTTTCTAGTTAAGTCTTAAACCCTTTCTTTTTCTCCACTGTAAATATTAACTGGGAACATCTTGCTATTGGTCATTCTGTTACAATTTTAGGTACAGCTTTATACTTCAATGTATAGATTTCTTTTTACATTTGTCAGGAAATATCTCCTGTCTTCTGTCTAAATGTTGTGTTTCACCTACACACTGAATTTGCTGTTTCAACACTGTCAAAAGGTTTGCCCTGTCATCTCTCTATCCTTTAGTATCTTCCTTTTGTTCCATTTCAATGATAATTTACTACATATCAGGTACTTTTCTAGACCATTAGCATACATTAAAGACAGACAGATGCCTGCCCTTTACAAGCAAATTTTCTAATGACAGACAACCTAGTACACATTTTTGGTGTTGCAGGCTGCATCACAACTAAGTCAGTTCTGCTGTGGTAGCATAAAAGCAGCCATCAGTGACACTACACACAGACCCCACAGCATGGAGCAGCCATCAGTGATATTACACAAAGACCCCACACCATGGAGCCATCAGTGATATACACACAGACCCCACAGCATGGAGCAGCCATCAGTGACACTACACAAAGACCCCACAGCATGGAGCCATCAGTGATATACAACACAGACCCCACAGCATGGAGCCATCAGTGATATACAACACAGACCCCACAGCATGGAGCCATCAGTGATATACAACACAGACCCCACAGCATGGAGCCATCAGTGATATACAACACAGACCCCACAGCATGGAGCCATCAGTGATATACAACACAGACCCCACAGCATGGAGCCATCAGTGGTATTACTCACAGACCCCACAGCATGGAGCCATCAGTGGTATTACTCACAGACCCCACAGCATGGAGCCATCAGATATATTACACAAAGACCCCACACCATGGAGCCATCAGTGATATACACACAGACCCCACAGCATGGAGCAGCCATCAGTGACACTACACAAAGACCCCACAGCATGGAGCCATCAGTGATATACAACACAGACCCCACAGCATGGAGCCATCAGTGGTATTACTCACAGACCCCACAGCATGGAGCCATCAGTGATATACAACACAGACCCCACAGCATGGAGCAGCCATTAGTGATCTACAAAACAGACCCCACAGCATGGAGCCATCAGTGATATACAAAACAGACCCCACAGCATGGAGCCATCAGTGGTATTACTCACAGACCCCACAGCATGGAGCCATCAGTGATATTACACAAAGACCCCACACCATGGAGCCATCAGTGATATACACACAGACCCCACAGCATGGAGCAGCCATCAGTGACACTACACAAAGACCCCACAGCATGGAGCCATCAGTGATATACAACACAGACCCCACAGCATGGAGCCATCAGTGATATTACGCACAGACCACACAGCATGGAGCCATCAGTGATATACAACACAGACCCCACAGCATGGAGCAGCCATTAGTGATCTACAAAACAGACCCCACAGCATGGAGCCATCAGTGATATACAACACAGACCCCACAGCATGGAGCCATCAGTGGTATTACTCACAGACCCCACAGCATGGAGCCATCAGTGGTATTACTCACAGACCCCACAGCATGGAGCCATCAGTGATATTACACACAGACCACACAGCATGGAGCAGCCATCAGTGATATACAAAACAGACCCCACAGCATGGAGCCATCAGTGATATTACACAAAGACCCCACAGCATGGAGCCATCAGTGATATACACACAGACCCCACAGCATGGAGCAGCCATCAGTGACACTACACAAAGACCCCACAGCATGGAGCCATCAGTGATATACAACACAGACCCCACAGCATGGAGCCATCAGTGATATACAAAACAGACCCCACAGCATGGAGCCATCAGTGATATACAACACAGACCCCACAGCATGGAGCAGCCATCAGTGATCTACAAAACAGACCCCACAGCATGGAGCCATCAGTGATATACAACACAGACCCCACAGCATGGAGCCATCAGTGGTATTACTCACAGACCCCACAGCATGGAGCCATCAGTGGTATTACTCACAGACCCCACAGCATGGAGCCATCAGTGATATTACACACAGACCACACAGCATGGAGCAGCCATCAGTGATATACAAAACAGACCCCACAGCATGGAGCCATCAGTGATATTACACAAAGACCCCACAGCATGGAGCCATCAGTGATATACACACAGACCCCACAGCATGGAGCAGCCATCAGTGACACTACACAAAGACCCCACAGCATGGAGCCATCAGTGATATACAACACAGACCCCACAGCATGGAGCCATCAGTGATATACAAAACAGACCCCACAGCATGGAGCCATCAGTGATATACAACACAGACCCCACAGCATGGAGCAGCCATCAGTGATCTACAAAACAGACC